AGGGTGCCCCTACGGGCGCCCTTATGGGCCCTCACGTTTGCCCTCATCTTGCCCTCAAGTTTGCCATAATGTTTTTTAATCAATAATATTAATAATAAAAGTTAATTAATAATAAATAAGCTTAAGTTATGAATAAATAACATATTTATTTAATAATTATTCAATTTTAAATTAAATTCTTACTCAAATTGAATTTATTAATTAACGTTCTAATTAATTAACTGTCGGATATAATTAAAAGTAATAATAAATTAATTAATTAAAAAATTAAAAAATATGTAATTTATGCATTCTATTAACGGATATTTTCATTTTTCAATTAATTCATACATAGAATTAATGATTAAACGCAAACCTGAGAAATAAATAAATCTAACGCGTTTTTCGTTGTTTTGAATCATTATAAACATTAATTTTTTGGTGATAAAAAAATATTTGATTTTTGGACTTAGAAAATTTTGCTAATCGATCATGAGGGCGATCCATGCGGGCCCCTACGGTGGCCCTCATCTATTTTGCCATAAGTGTGAGTGTTATTTTCAAAAAAGTGTAAATATATTTTTATTAAAAACGCGTTTTTCGTTGTTCTGAATCGTTATAAACATTAATTTTTTGGTGATAAAAAAATATTTGATTTTTGGACTTAGAAAATTTTGCTAATCGATCATGAGGGCGATCCATGCGGGCCCCTACGGTGGCCCTCATCTATTTTGCCATAAGTGTGAGTGTTATTTTCAAAAAAGTGTAAATATATTTTTATTAAAAACGCGTTTTTCGTTGTTTTGAATCATTGGAAACATTCATTTTTTGTTGATAAAAAAATATTTGATTTTTGGACTTAGAAAATTTTGCTAATCGATCATGAGGGCGATCCATGCGGGGCCCCTACGTTGCCCCTCATGGATTCGCCATATGGATCAGCCCTCATGGGCCCCCGCCGGGGGCCCCGAACTCTTGAGGGCAAGATCGTGGCTTTTTCCACACGGGAATATATAATTTTTATTATTATTGAATTAGGGAAAAGGTAAATTATAGGAAGTATACAAAAAAACACAGAGTATATAGAAATTACAAATTTATTAACTAATGTTATTAAAAAATATTTTAAATATAAAAATATATAAAACATTAATTTATTAAATATTATAGGGCAACGTCGGTAGTAGCGAGACACGCTTTATTTTTTTGGTGTAGCACTCATATTTTCATAAAAATCAAGTCCGCATCTATATCGGCGGACAGGCTGGATTATCTACTGCAAATTTACTTCATCTATATATCATAAGTCTTCAAAAAAGAAAGTTATCGCTAATTTACGATAATGTCTCGCGACTACAGACATCAGAAAACGTCGGTAGTGGCGAGACACTATTTTAAATCATAGTTAAATCTGTCATTAAATTTTAAATCCTGTCCATTGAACTGTCATGTACAGTGCTCTAGGAATTTCGAAGGAATCTTAAACACCAATAAATTAAAGCACTTATTGTTCATAAAAATCCGGAATTTTTTTTTATAGGCACTTTTCCTTTCGAGAAATAAAACTTTCAAAGTTGCTTGAAACTATTATCAGCTGTGTGGCGAAAGATTTTACGTCAAAAAAGAGTGCATCATATAGAAAAGCTTTAGTACAATAAAACTTCACTTTTACATCAGAAGCGGGAGCACCGTCAACTCAGATGTTTGAAATATCGCAATGTCTCGCCATACCGGCCGTCTCGCCACTACGGACAACGCCCTAATATTTTTTTTTAAACAAAGAAATAAATAAAATTATTTTAACTAAATTTGTAAAAAAAAAGTTTTTTAATTTTTTTTCTTTTTTTCCATCATCATAATCATTGTTAGAGGAGGGGGGGTTGGATTCCGAAGATTTTCGTTTACGAGCATTTGATTCTGAATGATGGGTAGGAGGACGAATTGTTGGAGTTGGAGGACGGTTCAGGTAAATGTCTGGGGTTGGAGGACGATCGTAGGATTTTATAAAGTCATTGGGGGGAGGTTGAGGTAAATGTTGATAAATGTCTGGAGTTGGAGGACGATCGTGGGATTTTATAAAATCAGTGGGGAGAGGTAAATTTAGACAAATGTCTGGAGTTGGAGGACGATCAGAGGAGGGTAAAGAAGAATCACTCTTATCATCATCATCATCATCATCCGATTCTTCATGATGATGATGATGATGAGGATGATGATGACGAATGATTGATAGAGGGGGGTATTGCCTCCGGATCCGATGATGGTTGCGGTTTTGATGTTTCAATCCTCCATCTTATTTTTTTTTATTTTCATAACAATTATTATCCTAGTTGGTTTTGATTGGTTAATCACGCCCTCTATAACTCTGTATTGATACTGATCCCTCTGAAACAAAAAATTATAACAAAAAATTATAATAATAATAAAAATAATGGCAATAATAACAATAATAAAAGTAACAAAAATATCAACACTACTAATAATAAAAATAATAATAATTATATTAATAGTAATAAAAATTAAAATAAAAAGTGAAAAAATTAGTTTTTTTTAACATACCATCCAATATCTCGGTAAGCCCCACTGTTCGGGACTTATCATTATCATCATTTTCGGCGTCGGTACCGTGTCCTCCTGACGACGCCTTGGATCCACTTGTAGGCGAACAATTGTTTTTTTTCAGAATTCTGTAAATAAAATATCAAAATTTGTTAAGAAATGAATTTATAGGAATATGAAAGATTTCTATTAAAAAAAATTATAAAATATATAAAAATTATACATACCATTTTTTTTCTTCAAATTCAAATTTTCTTTAAACAAATCACTTTTTTTCACTACACTTTAATGATAATGAATAAACTCAAAGACTTTAATTCAATATAATTAGTTTTTTCAATGAAAATTAAAATATTTTTTTAACTTATTAAAGAGTTTTTAGTAAGAGAGGAGTTTTCACAATGACAGTTTTTCGCATGTTAGAAGGATTTTCTCTTTTATGTAACTTTTTTATGTTTTTTATGATAGGGATACAGGTAAACTCAAAACAGCTTGTTGACAACATCAATATATATATATATATGATAAATAGAGACTTACCATGGAAAAAGAAGTTTTAAAAAGTGGCGCCCTCTATTGAAAAATAAGATTACTATATGGTAAAATAGTTACTTACCATAAAAAATAAAATCGGTATGCAAATTAGTGGGTGGAAAGTGGGAGGGAATCTCAAAAGGCATATGCAAATTATATGCAAATGAGTGGGTGGTAGGGGGGGTCAAGAGGGTGGAAAATGGGAGGGATTCCCTAAAAAGGCATATGCAAATTATATGCAAATGAGTGCGTGTTAAGGGGGTGGCCAAACGGGTTCAAAAAATTCAAGGCATATGAAAATTATATGCAAATGAGTGGGTGGTAAGGGGGTGGCCAAACGGGTTCAAAAATTCAAAAACTCCCGCGAGCAACAGCGCCATCTCGCGACAACGGTCGGTAACACCGATCTATGGTAAAGTAGAGTTAACATCGGTCGGTAAGGTAGGAATCAAAGAGGACTGAGCTAGAACCGACATAGCTCTACTACTCCTCTAATTCAAAATAGTTCATATTAGTCTCGTTGGATGAAGAATTACGTCAGCTTGCAATTGGTAACGCTAAATTACGGTAACATTATTTGTTTATAAAATATTACATTTTTTATTAACTATACTAACATTAAATAATTCATTAATTAATATCTCGAAAATAACAAAAAAGGACATCTCAATATTTTTTGTATTGAAACTACACATTTTTAACTTTCCAAAAAATCAAAATTCACTGTTTATTAAATTATCCAAAATCGTCACCTATATATAATAAAAGTTACGAATTCTAGTTTTTTTAATAAAAAATTTTTTAATGGCTTGTATCTAGGAAATGAGGTCCTACAAACACATTGACATAAATAAAAATCATTAACATAATTTAAAACTTATTTCTGTCCCTTAAAAAGCAATTTTTTAGGAAAAATTTCAAAATCACTCCTAGAAAGGGGTGAAACTTTTCTAAATGAACAGCTACGATTTTTGGAATAAGTTTTCTCATTTCAGGGGCTAAGGAACCACCAGGTAACAATGATTTTTCTTGGCATCGTAGGCAAACTTTTTTTACTTTCCAGACACCTGTGTACAGTGATAATAATTGGGTTCTTTTATGCTCACAGCCGCTAGAAAGGCTGATGATGAAGCCAATATTAATGTAGAAGGCCAATTATACGGTGCAGGCATTGTAATTAATTTCTTATTGATTGGTGATTCTGAAAGTAAAAATTTTTCTCTATCAAAATCACCATTTAATTAAAAATCGATTTTTTCGGACGTAAGGTCCCTTTTAACTGTCCAGGTCACATACATTTTCATAAACTTGAAAAGTTAACGAATAAAGTCTACGAAACTAAATTTTATTTACTTTATTCCTATGTCTTAAAAAAATTATGAAAAACAGTTTCAAAAGAAACCTTAAAGGTATCACTCCTCTTAACGCCAGCCTTGTATGAGATCGTCTGTGACTAGTCACAGCTCCATGTGACTGCATTCTAATAGGAATTGAATTGAGAACAGAGAGCAGTGTCGCCAATTTTAAAAAATTAAACTCTCAAAAAGTCGTGCATAATTTAAAAATAATAATAGAAAATACAAATTAGTATCTTATTCCAAATAAAGATTTTTTGTTCAAGAATGATATATCACATAACGAGAGTTCAATAGCCTCCCTCCTTCCCGTGATACACCATGATGATTTTCTAAACCCCTCTCTAACAGTATCACATGTTTTGTGGACGACTCCTAATATGTTGCAACTGTTTTTTCGATTTATATTATTCAAAGTTTTTTTAATTTTAATATGTGATGTAAAAAATCTATAAGGAAGAATAAGAGAACTATAATTATTTCTTAAACAATTATTTTGTATTTTATTGTAGCTTGTACATAGTATGTTATAATTATATTTTTAATTGTACTAATTATGACATTACTTTCGTTTTGCACAAAATTATTAGGAAATGATTCTTAACATTTATTTGGTCATAGAAATTAAGACGCTTAAATAGGAGAATATTGTCTTCAACAACTGTAAACAAACAATAAATTTAGATGCTTACTTAAATTTACTCCCGCTGAGAGTACCTACACTGAGAAAAATGTTTAGTCAGAGCAACAAAAATTTTGTTAGGCCAACAAAAAAATTTTGTTGGTATTTAAGCAACCAAATTATTTGTTTGAGTCAACAAAAAAATTTGGTTGAGTGTTTTTTGTTGGCATAACATAAATGTTTAGTTAGGTCAACCAAATATTTTTTGTTAGGTCAACAAAAATGTTTGGTTGATCAAACAAACAGTTTTTTTGTAAAATTACAAATTATATTCTATATCATTTCTTTTCTTTTTATCTATTTTATTTATTTCATTATGTATTTATTATCAATTTAACATTGAATTTATATTTATCCAATTAAAATATTTGTGGAATTTGAAAAATCTCATCTCCGCCTGAGATCGAACCTCTGTTTTAAAACTGAAGGTCGGGAGCTCTGACCACTGGACTACCCTATTGAAAAAAAACACGTATAATTGTACGTATAATAATACGTATTATTATACGTATAATTATACGTATAATTATACGCATAATTATACGTATTATTATACGTATAATTATACGTATTATTATATGTACAATTATACGTATAATAAGACATACGAATTTGAAACAAGAATTATACGTATAATTATACGTATAATTATACGTATTATTATACGTATAATTATAATTCTATTAAAAATAGAATAATAGAATAGAATAATTAGTAGCAAAATTGCGCTGGAAATTTTTAGAAATTTTAAAATGCAAATTAAATTTCACGAAAAAAAATATCGTCGAATGTCAATTCAAGCAGTCACCCATCCAAGTACTAACCGCGTCCAACGTTGCTTAACTTCCGTGATCTGATGAGAACTTGTTCTTTCGCCTTGGTGTTTCCGCTGTCTTGTCTTGATTAATAACTTTGTCGTATAAGTATTGTATCGCACCTCACTTTTAGTGATACTTATACGACAAAGTTATTAATCAAGACAAGACAGCGGAAACACCAAGGCGAAGGAACAAGTTCTCATCAGATCACGGAAGTTAAGCAACGTTGGACGCGGTTAGTACTTGGATGGGTGACTGCTTGAATTGACATTAGACGATATTTTTTTTCGTGAAATTTAATTTGCATTTTAAAATTTCTAAAAATTTTCAGCGCAATTTTGCTACTAATTATTCTATTATTATTCTATTCTATTATTCTATTTTTAATAGAATTATAATTATACGTATAATAATACGTATAATTATACGTATTATTATACGTATTATTATACGTATTATTATACGTATTATTATACGTATAATTAATTATACGTATTATTATACGTATAATTATACGTATAATTCTTGTTTCAAATTCGTATGTCTTATTATACGTATAATTATACGTATTATTATACGTATAATTATACGTATAATAATACGTATAATTATACGTATAATAATACGTATTATTATACGTACAATTATACGTGTTTTTTTTCAATAGGGTACCCATTCTTGTGAGAGATTTAAACTAGCTGTCCTCTTAAGCTATAAGCTGAGAGCGAATCAAATTATTTGGTTAGGACAACAAACGATCATTTGGTTTTTAGACCAAACTATTTTGTTGTGTTAACCAAATTATTTTGTTGTCGTAACCAAATTTTGGTTGGAATTTAAAAATGTTCAACCAAATAATTTTGTTGGACTAATCAAATGTTTGCTTGAAATAACTCTACGACTTTGTTTCAGCCAACCAAAATTTGGTTACAAGAACCAAAATTTCCTAACCAAACAATTTTGTTGCAAACGCTAAATTTTTTTTATCAGAGTGTTTTATTGTTTTTACCCTATTTTTGTATTAAATCATATTGTGCAATATGGTTACTCGCAGATTAGAAAGTTCCTCACCTCTATAATTTAGTCTATGAAAATAAGAGGTCACGGCTTTCTTGAAACTAGGAAATTCCAAGCAAAAATGACGAGTAAAATGGACCCGGGAATGTGTTCAGGGTGACGTAAATATTACAAATCCGTTTGATTTAAAATCCTAGCTGATCGTTTAAATGATATATCGCAAAATTAATCGACATCATATAAATTTAACTTTCGTTTTTGTAAATGAATGCAATTTCAGTTATATTATTGATTTGACATTTTACATTTAAATTGGTTGGTTACATTTAAATGACACAAAAATATCTAAAAATGATATATCATCAACCCACGAAAAAAACCGACGAAAAACTTGAGCTCCTTGTTTGAGAAAAAATAGTTCTCAAAGAAAAAAGTTAGAGTGGTTAAACTTACTTACTGTTTAAACAAACAATATTTGATTTGATCAAATAGCACAGCCCCACAAAAAAAAGTGTCGTGCGCGGCAGACCAGACTAGTCATTTCCTATGTATTTTGACGCGCTGAACACGAATCCGAAGTGCGTTTTGCTCCATCACGTCAGGATTTTTTTCTAACCTCCAAAAACCTGTCGGATTTTGAGAGGTAGGCTATTTTTTTAAAAAATTGATGGATTTACTTCAAACTTGGTATCTAGGGGTTTTTTGGGTCGCTGATTACGAATCTGCAGTTAGATTTTCAAAACTAGAAATGGATATTCTTATATACATAAGTAAGGTATTCACGTCTATTTATGGTAGCGCACTCTTTTGTCCTCAAAGGATCTGTGTAATGGTTTTCTTTTCAAATTGGTGCCTCCAGGTACAATATCCCGTTTCAGCATCCAACAGTAGTCGGCCATCATATTTACATCCCATCTTCCTTGATAACGACGCTCAAATTCTTTAAGATCTTGATGGAATCGTTCTCCTTGTTCTTTACTGTAATCTCCCAAATTTTCAGGGAATTGATCCCGATGCGAGTCTAAGTAATGCAACTTTATGCTCATTAAGCATCCTAACTTACCAAAGTTTTTAATCATATCACTAACTATTTGCTCCCAATTTTCACTCTTGTGATTACCCAGAAAATTTTCGACAACTGTTTTAAAACTAAACGATGCGGCTTTCTCCTTTTTATTCATCTTGGTGATAAATTGCTCATCTTTTAACAATTGGCGAATACGTGGTCCGTCGAAAACCCCTTCTTTTAGTTTCGCATCAGAGATTTCTGGAAACTTTTGTTCCAGGTATTTGAAACAGTTTCCTTTTTTATCTAACAATCTTTTTGATTTAATGGTTTTTCCCACAAAGTTGGCTTTATAAACTTTAGTTTATCCTCTTTTGTGTAATTCCAACGAGTTAGCATTGTGTAACACGAACTGCAAATTTTGTGTGGAACCCAATTTTTATCCTGATTGGCTATCTCAAGATCAAAACAATCTTTGTAGATCTGTTTGATATTTTAATTTATTGATTTACGATTTTTGGGGACATCGAATTGTCCATATATGTAACAAAATGCATCTGCATTGCTGTCGCATAAGTGTTCCGACGTTGTTACTGCAAAATTAAGTTTTAAAGCCTTTGGAGTTTTATTATGGTTTTGATTTTGAGAAGCCATGATTTATGTGAAAACCCTCACGTTAGGGATCCTGGCCCGATCGCAGGTGAGTCCGCCGTCCCAGGGGTGATAACCCTCATACCTCTCCAGGCCTAAGTATGAGAGCTTTCCTACTTTGACGAGGACAAAGTCAACTCGTCGTCGGACACACTACGGCATCATTCTCACACCTTAACGTCCCCCTGCAGGGCAGCGCACCTACGCTGGCTTCATTACTTCGATAAACAAGAAGCGAATCATTCTACACATCCCCTTTCGGGGCAGTTGTCATCGCCTACTACATTTATCGAAGCAGCAGGATTAGTATTGTGCCGAAACACAATAAAAGTGTAAAACGTACAAGGTAAACAATGTATTTTTAAGGAATAAGATAGTGAAGGATATAGGATATTAATGTTCCTTTGTATCTCATTGCTTAAAAATTTATTATTTAACTTTCACATCTTATTGTCACATTATTACCTCAATGAAAAAAATTTTGTGCATTTCCCAAATTGATCTCTACGAAGCAATGAGACCTAACTATCAGTTTTTGAGATTAGTAAACTGGTTCATTACAAAACAAAAAGTTACAGTTCCCGCTGCATAACAGTCTACCAAAAAACATTTCGGAGTAGCCATGGCTACTCCAAAATGTTTTTTGATATGGTCGACTGTTATGAAATGTCACATTTTGAATCCCCTGCAGGGGGTTTAAAATGTGAAAGATTCGTATAGATTCTTAATCAGTGACCCAAAAAACCCCTAGATACCAAGTTTGAAGTAAATCCATCAATTTTTAAAAAAATAGCCTACCTCTCAAAATCCGACAGGTTTTTGGAGGTTAGAAAAAAATCCTGACGTGATGGAGCAAAACGCACTTCGGATTCGTGTTCAGCGCGTCAAAATACATAAGAAATGACTAGTCTGGTCTGCCGCGCACGACACTTTTTTTGTGGGCTGTGTAGTTTTTAAATTAAAAATTTGATCTACATTATTCCAAGTTTCCTTTGAGTGTTTGCGTTTCTTGCCGTTTGTCACTTGATGATTACAAAAAGGGTGACTTTAAAAGACCAGCACCAGTAATACTGAATTATTAAGATATACAAGTGCCAAACAATACTTGACAAACTGATAACCTTCAATGCAATGTTGTGATTTCATTCGTACAAAGGTATTATATAAAATGAATTGACGATTGATCTAATTTTATAAATAAAATAAATAAATATCATGTTAAACCGAAAAACAAAAGAAAATTTGAAAATCGTATTGTCTTACAACCCAAAATAACGTTTCTTCAAACTGCGAACAATCTGGTAATACTTTCAAGGAAACCACAATATCTGTTAATTCAACAACGAAGTGCAAAATTTGTTGGCAAGAAATTGGTCAAGTTTTAAAACACTCCTGTTCTGCCAAAACTGCCCTTCAACTGGGAAGCATAATAGGTCGAACGATAATATTTAATGGAATCCATTTACATAAAAAATTCTATTACAGCT